GTCCCCAAGCGGGGGGCAGCGGCTGCGGGCAGGGGGTCAGCACCACCTGGGGCACCCGGCTCACGCCCTGTCCCGTCCCCGTCCCCCGGGGCACCAGGGCTCAGGCCAGGATCTTCTGGCACAAGGCTCAGGCCAGGATCTTCTGGGGGATCTCCACCGAGGCTTTGATGAAGATGGCGTTGTCCCGCACGTAGTTGCGCTTCTTGATGTCCTCGTGGGAGATGAATTTGGGGTAGCCGAAGCCCAGGGTGCTCTCATCCAGGGAGCTGCGCGAGGCTCCCGGCTTCTGGAAGTTTTTCCAGTTGGGATCGGGGTGGAAGGTCTCGGTGATGTGCTGGGGCTTGGAGAGCGAAGGGTCGCTCTGGTCCAGCAAGGAGAAGGTGACGCGGTAGGAGAAGGGCCACTCCAGCAGGTTGTCGTACTCGCCCGGCAGCACGCGGATGTAGACGGAGAGGTGGCTGCTCTCCCCGCTCCCGTTGCCGTTGAGGAAAGCCGAGACCTGGAGCTTGTAGCCGTACTTGTGGGTGTAGAAAGGGGGGCTGAAGAACTCGTAGTTGCTGCGGGCTTTGGCCTCCTGCAGCTTGCGGGCGTAGTCGGCGATCTTCCAGATGAGGGTCCCGTCGCTGCTCACCGACAGCTCCTCCACGTCCCGCCGCAGCTCCAGGATCTCCTGCCGCTGCCGGCTCACCAGGGCGCACACCATGCCCAGGTGCACCTTGGTGCTCTCCTCCAGGTGCCGGCCCATGGCCAGCTTGGGGCACTGCGGGGACAGCGGGACCGTCAGCGGGATGGGGTGCTGGGGGCATGGGACAGCGTGGGGACACGGGGTGGGACAGGACAGGAGAAGGATGCCGTGGGGATGTCATGGAGGTGTTGTTGGAGCACGGGGGTAGTGGAGCAGGAGGGCACAGGGCGGGGGTCTCCTCGCAGGAGTGGCACAGGGACACCTGGTTGGGATGTCATGGGGACACTTGGGTGGCAAAGCGACACGGGTGAGGCAGGACAAGGATGGGGACACCATGGAGCAGAGCAGGGACACCACAGGGGTTGGGACTGACGGCAGGGCAGGGGAGGTGTGAGGACGCTGCGAGGCACAGGCACGCTATGGAGGGGCTGGCACATGGATGCCGGGGCAGGATGGTCATGGGGACACCAGCACAGGGCCGGGGACACACTCACCCGGTGCTTGCAGCCAGCTTCCTTGAAGGGGCACAGCAGCATGGCAGTGTTGCAGCTCTCCTTGAGGTGGGTGGGCACATCCTCCCGGGCGATACTGGGCGTCCCGCACTGGTTGGGGCAGGGCACGGGGTATCTGGGACACTGGTACTGGTGGTTCTGGGGACAGAGAGTGACCGTCAGCTGGGGCCAGGAGCTGGTGGGGTGAGGGTCCCCGTGGACCCCCATCTCACCTGGATGGTGTCGAAGACAAACTCCTTGGCGCAGTAGGTGCAGGGCTGGGTGCGCTTGGGGCACTCGGCCAGGGTGTGCTGGGACAGCAGGCGCCGCATCATGCGGGCTCCGCACTTGTTCTCGCAGTACACGCTCTCCTGGGGACACGTGCCCTGGTGGCCCTGGGGATGGTGGCAGCATTGTCACCTTCTGGCTGCCCTCACCGGCCAGCCCTGCCAAGGAACGGGGCCACACGGTGCCCCCCATGGCCAGGCTGTGCCCCCTGATGGTGTCCATCACCCAGGCTCTGTCCCCATGCCCAGGTTGTTCTCCACCACAGTGTCATGCACTGTCCCCACGTCCAGGCTGTGCCCCCCATGGTGTCCTGCCAGGCTGTCCCCATGGCCAGGTTGTGCCTCCTATGGTGTTCCCCCATCCAGGCTCTCCCTGTGGCCAGGCTGTGCCTCCACGGTGCCCAACAGCCCACCTAGGTTCCTCCCCACGGCCACACTGCACCCCACATTGCCCCTCCCCAACCTGGCTCCACCTCCACGGTGTTCCCCCACCCAGGCTCTGTCCCCATGGCCAGGCTGTGTCCCCCATGGTACCCAGCAGCCCATCTAGGTCCCCACATTGCCTCCCGCAACCTGTCTACACCCCCAACGATACCCCCAGCCAGGCCATGCCCCCCATGACACCCCTGCCAGCTGTGTTCCACACAGTGTCCCCACCAGACCATGCCCCGCCCTGGCACAGTGTCGTCCCACCACCACCACCCACTGCCCACCTCAAAGGCCTCCCCGGTGAAGTCACTGGCGCAGAACTCGCACTTGACCCGGCGCTTGGGGCAGCCGTGCTGGACGTGCTCGGGCAGGTCGCGGCGGCTCAGCTTGGTGCTGCACCGGTTGGGGCAGGGGATGACGTTGAAGCCAC